TCGTGCGGGCCGGCCCCCCAGCTCACGTCTTGGCCAGCCGCGGATCCGACGAGCCAAGGGTTTGCCGTGTCAGGGTCCAGAGTCACATCCACTGGCCAGGGAGGGAGAGAATGAAAATCGGTGTTAGAGGTCAAGGTTTGCGTCCACATAATCTACAGCCGTGTATCTTAACCAGTGGTAGGAGTACCCTTAGGGGTACTTGACAGTAGAGTGTTTCTCAACCAGTGGTACGAGTACCCTTAGGGGTACTCGACAGAAGCCTGGGGGGTACATTTGGAGAAAACTGATTTTTGTGTACATCAACACAACTGAAATTTGGAGAAAACTGACTTTTTATGTTAAGTTTTCTAGCGCTTTATTATTTTTGTACTTTTTACACCCGAAAATGTCATCACCTGCCTGGGTACGATTAAATTGTTTAAACAAATGTGTTGCAATGGTAGAAGAAATTGTGTGTGTCTGAAAACTGTAAGTACTGGGGGGTACTTTTTTTTTTAAAGGGGTACTTTTATTAAAAAAAAAAAAGGTTGAGAAATGCTGGTCTACAGCACTGCCAGGGCTGTGCCTTGGGTTCTACTGCCCTCTGGTGGCCACTCACAGGCATTTGTTACAGCCCTTCAAGCCTATTTTTATGCCCACCCCTTTTTTCTGTTCTGACCGCCACTCACAGGCATTTGTTACAGCCCTTCCAGCCTATTTTTATGTCCACCCCTTTTTTCTGTCCCTCAAATCACTGATCAAATTTCCTCTCCCTTCCAGTCTGATCGTCACACAGTGACTGAGTCAATCCTGAGGCAGGCTCTGTCTACCTGGGAGCCTCATCCAAATGTCCAGACAGAGTCAGCTCGAGCCTAAACAACGGGATTTTCTTTCCAAATAAACATCAAGGTCTTGCTGTTTTCTTTCTGAGGCTTTAAGGTGCCCTGTGGTTTTATTTTCGGGGAGGGAGAAATTTCTCTGTGACCACAAGGCTGAGACATTATTTAAAAACAGTAAATGAAAGCAAGATTTCCCCTAAATCACGTGAGTCCAGGAGCTGGGTCTTTAAAGCAATACAGTCGTGTTGGTTTGGTTAAAATTACAGTTGATAATACTGGAGATTTGTCAAGCAAAAAAACCTCCAAACCACCACTGGGGAGTGGACCAAGGAGACCTGGGGGCCAAAGTGCAGTCACACATGTCCCGAGTGGGCTATGGATTGAATAAAGACATTGGCTGGCTAGCATACTACCTTCCCCATCCTAATGACTTAACTACCAAACAATGGGTATTTAAGAACCATTTACGCCTTCTCTATCAGCTTCATGGAATATGAAGGCTACGTCTAGACTGGCATGATTTTCCGCAAATGCTTTTAAGGGAAAAGTTTTCCATAAAAGCATTTGCGGAAAAGAGCATCTAGATTGGCACGGACACTTTTCCGCAAAAGCACTTTTTGTGGAAAAGCGTCCATGCCAATCTAGACGCGCTTTTGCGCAAAACAAATCTGAGCTGTCTACACTGGCCCTTTTGCGCAAAAGTTTTGCGCAAAAGGACTTTTGCCCGAACGGGAGCAGCATAGTATTTCTGCAAGAAGCACTGATTTCAGACAGTAGGAAGTCCGTGTTCTTGTGGAAATTCAAGCAGCCAGTGTAGACAGCTGGCAAGTTTTTCTGCAAAAGCAACTGCTTTTGAGGAAAAACTTGCCAGTCTAGACACAGCCGGACACTCTAATGCATTATATTTTCCCCTTCCTTCTCCCCATGCCCATCCCCTGTTTATTTTGGAACTGGACTTTTAATACTCCATTCATCTGAAGAAGTGGGCTGTGCCCACGAAAGCTCATGATCCCATCTACGTGTTTTGTTTGTCTTTAAGGTGCTGCGAGACTTTTAGTTGTCTTTGAAGTTTTTCCAATACTGCAGTCGTTAGTAATAACCCTTTTCAGTGGTCATTGCATAGAATCATAGGACTGGTAAGGTCCTTAAGAGAAGGACTAAGTATCTAGACCAGTGGTCCCCAACTTTTTGGGGCTGCCGGACGCCTGGGGGTGGGGCCACTCACGCCGGGCACCCGAGGGCGGGGCTGTGCACGCACCCAGGGGTGGGGCCACCCATACACCGTGTGCCCAGTGCTGGCGCCACTCATGTGCCACACGCCCAGGGGCAGGGCCGCCCATACGCCGTGTACCCAGGGCCAGAACAGCCCATGCACTGCATGCCCAGGGCTGCTGCCGCTCCTGTGCCGCGTGCCCAGGGGCGGGGACGTCCATACACCGCGCACCCAGAAGCTGGCAGCACTCATGCACCGCGTATCTGGGGCTGGCACTGCTTCTGTGCGGAGATTTGTCAAGCAAAAAAACCTCCAAACCACCACTGGGGAGTGGACCAAGGAGACCTGGGGGCCAAAGTGCAGTCACACATGTCCCGAGTGGGCTATGGATATGCAGAGTGGCAGCAGGGGAGGGGAGGTGTCTTTGCACGCCAGCTCCTCTTTGTCTCTTTAAGGGGGGAGAGTGATGGAGTGTTCGCAGAACCCTTACTTTCACTTTATGGAACCCTTACTTTCACTTTATGGAACTCACTTTGTGGAGCACCATTTGGGGGACACTGCTCTAGACCGTCCCTGTCAGGTGTCTCTGTCCAACCTGCTCTTAAAAATCTCCCGCGAGGGAGATTCCTAGAGGCGGAGGCAAAGCAAGGTGCTTTCTATCACCCCCGACTCCAGAAATGAGTTGGATTCCTGCCGCCTGCATGGTCCCAAACCAAACGTGGTCTCCTCACACCAGGAAAGCAGTCCCCTCGATCATGCCCATCTCCCTGCGGCCCCCTTCGAAACTTACCTCTGCCCGGGTTCGGTTCAGGCACCAGACTCGCTAAAGGAAGAAGAGCATGGAGAGTGGATCAGATTTTGTTGATTACATTTGTGGAATTAGTGACAAGAGGGGAACGAGGGACGAGGCAGAAAAGACGACACCGAAAAAACCCATCGACAGATCTTTCCAGTGCCTTAGAATTTTGTGTGGATTAAATATGGTGGCCGGTATGCTAGGCAAGGGAAGGCACCTTCCCAAACTGCCAGCCTGGCCTCACCCACACTCCTGCCCCCTCTCTCCCCACCCCCCGCCAAATGCTTCCCGTAGGGATACTGGGGGTGGAGTGTTGCTCCCCTGGAGTGCCCATCCTTCCCATGCGCCAGAGCGCAGGGGGATGGAACCACATGGCATCCACCCACCTTGCTCCTCTCCCCGAGGTAGGGCCTTGTCAGAAGGGGCAGGACTAGAGGGGAGCTGGGGTCTTTCCTCCCCCAACCCTCCCTTCACCCAGGGGATTAATTAAGAAATAATTAAGTTTATTGTTCATTTATTATGTGATGTTGTAACTACCATGTTATATTAGAGAGAATCATGGTGTATGTGAGTTAAGTTGTAGGATTATAGCCGCGTTAGTTTAATTAGTAGTTAGAGGGGATAATTACATACTAGATATTTAAGTAAGTATGGCAAAACACAAGGGCTGTGTCTACACTGGGCCACTTATTCCGGAAAATCAGCTGCTTTTCCGGAATAAGCTGCGAGCTGTCTACACTGG